TGTGTGTGTGTGTGTGTGTGTGTGTGTGTGTGTGTGTGTGTGTGTGTGTGTGTGTGTTGTCTCACTCACCTTGCAGAGCCAGCTGCTCTCAGAATCATCGTCATCAGCAGCAGAGCTGCGATCCAAACCGCAGCGATGATGAAAACTCCAGGACCGACCTGAAGGACGGTGTCAGACATCTTTAATCAGCGGCTGGAAAAGACTCCAACAAACTGATGTCGACAAGCTGAGATTGTACGAACTATGTTAGCGATGTAATCAAGTTCAACAAAACAGCGCTAACAGTATGAACGCTAAGTGATTAGCTGCTAGCTAGCTCCTGTTTTAACAATTAGATGCACAGTTATATACGTGTTAGAAATTAAAAGAACTTCTGGTTTAAAAAATCTTGTTAACTCAAACAAATACGTTTGTAAGTAATACGTTTTGTTACGGCGTCCCGCACTTCCTGACAACTGTAATCTAGAATGTAATTGGACAAACAAACTACAGATGTTAGCCAATCCAATGCGTCGTTACTGAAACGTGGAGGAAAACTGGTTATACCTCTTTTATTACRCGGTTGACGGAGTGCGGCGCCAGGTAGGCGGAGTTTACACTCCAGACCTCTTTCATTTCAACTTAAATAAAAGTAATTTTATTCCATGAATGAATGCATGTCGTTTACTGCCAACCGTACATTCACACCAAAGTTTTAGATCCAAATCATCTCACGTTGAGAAATAACAGAACTAACTCGTGTGTGTGTGTGTAAACACATGAGGCTGTTCAGGCTATGGTCCAGCTGGTGGCGGTAATGAACCAACGAACATTAAAAGAAGAAGAACAGTTTGTCACGTGACAAGTTGGTCCGTCACATGATGATAAGTTGTTGATGTTAACAATATGGCAGCGTTTTTACAGTGGAGAAAATTCGTCTTCTTTGATAAAGACACCGTGAAAGACCCCGCAGATAGCGGGAAAACCTTTACTCTCCCCAAAGGAATAACGGCAAGTGACTCCGGCCGGAGCCATGTTGTTCTCGGAGATATCCTTTGGGTTCAGCAGCTAATGCTAATGCTAACGCTAGTTAGCGGAAATAGCACAGTAAACAGTGAAAAGGCATTATCTTCGATATTAGAAATAAACTGTGGATTGTTTGTAAACTCTGCTGTGTTGTTAGTTAAAGCAGCTTAAAAGACAAGTTAATACCAACTTTATTTGTGGAGAAACAGGGAAGTTAGAAGCAGTTTTAGTGGGAGAAATCATCATCCCAGTTTCAACTCTTTGATTAAAGGTTTCAACTCTGGGGTCAACAGATTGTCATGAAAGCTGCTCAGAATGTAGAAAATAGTTTATAATGAATTTTTACCTTATAATGACTCATATATGTCGCATACTTTTTTTAACCAGCAGAAATGTGTAAATGTTAATGAAAGTGTACTTTTCTGTCCTGACAAACAGGAGTTTGTCGATTAATCACAGATTTTTTTTCGAGTAAATAAAGGTTATTTTATTTTATTTTACTAGATGTTTAATAACAATTAACCTCTTAATATTGTTCTGATAAATGACAAAATGCTCCTGGACGAGTTTGATAATAATTAAATTTTTAAAAATCCCCCCAAAATCTTCATAAAGAAATCATGACAGTGTTGCTGATTGTTAATGGAAAGGAAAGACATTAATTATGCCAATTCCCAAAATTAAAAATTTTAAAATGCTATATACTTCCTGTTTTTTAAGCCTCTTTTTACCCCCAGAAAAACAAATTTCATTGTATTGTCATTAGTGTTACAGAAACATGCTGGTAAAAATGAATGGTTGCTGATTAATCAAACTATGATTCATTTGAAAGTATGAGCTTGTGGTCAGTCAGCAGTCCTGCTGCTCCTTCATAAAAATCAAGCAGCTTTTGTTGAAGCAAATATTAAACTTTTTGCCGTAGCCATCTCTTACAGGAAGCAGATGACAGGTGGAATTCTGGGTATTTCTTTTGTGAAACATTTCAGTAACAAAAAGGCAGAAGAAATGTGTACGGTCTGAATACACTTTCACAGCACRTTAAATGATAAAGTTAATAACAGACGAATGGATGAAACAACTACACCACAGGTTTAGGGCTGCCACAAACGATTATTTTTTAATCGATTAATCACTGATTATTTATTCGATTAGTCGACTAATCAGATCATATGTTAATTGAATATAAAACATAC